ATACCGAAAAGACCGGAGAATATAAGCTGCGGTTTATCTTGTGAGACACCACTGAGGGCCGAGAATATATCCGGGGATCCATTTCCAAAGGCCAAGAATGTAACACCCTGTTCACAAATATATGCTTCAAATACATTGAAATTATTGTGCATTTAATAAGTCTTACGGCAATGTTATCGGGCAATCGTAGTGTTTTAGATATCGTGAGTAAAGCCGGGCATAAACTGTTGGAAAATAGCGATTGAATTAAATACCTAATAATCATTTAACATATGATTGAGACTCACAACTCGTCGGCCACTACACCCATCGATAGGAAGAGGAATAATAAGATGGCAAAGAGTACGACGAGAGAAGCGGCCCGGTATTCATCACCGATATCACAATACACCAAATGTGTGAAATCATAAATCATACCATCATACCCACAATCATCGATACTTTGTGTAAAATTACATTTGTCTGAAGAGTTTAATGTGTTCACAAACAGACACTGTCAAAGATTACATCAATCATTTTAGTTAATTCACTTATTTAACATAATATTGCATTATATTAGTGTCTAATGGTAAGCCATTTATCTTAATGTTGTTTTAAGTTAAATCATTGCAATAAACTGAGATAATACAATTATTGGTACTTAATCAGAACCAGTAATATGAATTAGGTACTTATTAGAACTATCAAGGTTTGTATAACTGATCTATATAAAAATTAGATATAGTGAAAAGAAAATTTTTAAAACATTCTAGATGGTATTTACAATTATGAATTAAATTATTGATTATAAAATGTATTACATAATATCAGTGATAATGAACTTAATAAAATTATAAGTTTAACTTGATCTAAAAGCATTAAAAGTATTGCAAATATTTCCGAAATGGAAAGCAATGATTATATGATGACAATTAGTGACAAAAAAAGTAGCAATAACTTACTTTAAGGTGGTCTGGCTCATCCATAATCAGCTCAATTATTGAAGACATGGTGGCAATTGGCGCTCCTTTTATGTCTTCTTTGGGCAATTAAATGATATCTTCAATAATAAATATAAAACAATTAATTAAAACTAACAGAATCTGTTGTTTTTTATTATCAAATGAATCCACACTTCGTTTTACATTATATGACTTTACAATTGATTAAATCATAAATCATAAAATATTAAAAACTTATATTCAAAGTTCATATGACTTGTTAATTTGTCTCAATTTTGTTTTTATACAAAGTTAATCTGAACACTTAATTAATAGTTCCCATTCCTATATAAATCCCATACAATTGACGTCAAAACGCGACCACTTTTAACATTTAATGAGAATTTAATGAAACGATTGACTGACAAAAGGGTTTTATATGTATGAAGAGGAACAGCACATCTGATCCATTCCTATATAAATCCCATACAATTGACGTCAAAACGCGACCACTTTTAACATTTAATGAGAATTTAATGAAACGATTGACTGACAAAAGGGTTTTATATGTATGAAGAGGAACAGCACATCTGAGATAACCGACACATTCAGAGACACAATGCTTTCCTATAGAAAATAACTACTTTTATAATTAGATAAAACTCATGAGACACTTGAAGATTACCGATAGGACCTCATAAACAATACCACTGTTTATGTGATTTTAAAATGCATTTCAATATATTCAATTAGCTATAAATTATATATAGCCTATAATGCATAATCTATTATCAAACACCATTATACATTACACAATCAAGTGGTATATAAGATATTAAAAATAAATTTAAACATTTGTTATAAAATTGAAGTCAAAGATGATTTACTTATACAGTGTACCCACAAGTCTACTGTAGATTAAGCGTAAACTAATCTTAAGGATATAATTTACTTAAAACTAGATTTTAATTTTACTATTTAACTAAAAATATACCAAAAAATTAAATTATCAGCTTTATATAACAAAAGGTTCATCATAAGACAATATTACAAAATATGGCTAATAAATCATAGTTCATAATTAAATATAATAAAGTTTTATTTTTAGCAACCATCATTTGTAGTATATTTATTTTGTAAAATTTACTGTGAAATACAATAAACTCCTGTTTATTTACAAATAAATAAAAACACGGATTTCACAACAAAAACGTGTTAATTGGATGCAATATTTATTTTGATGTGACAATAATTGGCAGAATTCTCACTAAATGTTTATTTAATGTCCGATAAGCGATGTACATACATGTAATATGTACCATTATACATATAGTATAGGATATTCATGAGAATTTAGAAATGCAACAAATACAAGGGCTTTGTGTTCAATATAGTTAACCGAAACCTTGATCCTGATAAGTTGAGATAATAGTTATTAATTGGCTGATAATTACAAAATTAGCGTTGTTTTCATGAATGGAAAATATTTAATACAAATTCTGTACAAAAAACGGTAACATTGTTTTAAGCGTAACACTGCTATTAATATGTTAGCAGTTTGTAAAGTTATATAGAAATATTAATAGAATTCAAATGTTAGCAACTTTCATAATAAATTTATTCTAAAATATTATGGACATTGATCATTTAATCAAAGTACATTATAGCACACGTTCTGGAAACTTTTATATACCGTAGTATCAAAGTGTACTAGAAGTTACATTTCATACTAGTATATACTTAATACTAGGCAGAATATGTCATAGGTCTATTATGTATTCATATATATTTAGATTTACTTAATATTCTTGATATCAAAGTGACTTTTGATTGAATATAAGCTCTCATTGACGCATAAACGGGTTTAAAATTGCAATTATTTAATGATCAATAAAATCCTTATTTAATACCTGGATTAATATAAATACATGATTGTAAATATTTAGTTTATACAAACTCATTGTATCCTTGATTGATTTGTATTTATTTATAACTAAACCACTTGATGTGTGTACTTTTAATGTTAAATATAAGTATTCTTATAATATTAGCTACAAACTGATCATTTCTCTAATGGTTATAAGTTATAACTTATAAGTAAATATCTTAATTGAATTTATAAAGCAAGCCTTTATTCAACAAGTACATTTAATGAAGTAGCAGGGTCAGAAAGTTATCATTGAAAATATTATTACTAGTATATTATTATAGAACATACAATTGAGGGAGGAAGGTTCATGCCTTATTTGAATTAAAATTTGTAATAAATAGTTTTTATTTTATAAACATTTTTAAAAAGTCCATTTAGTAAATGGTACACACTTTATAAGTTATTATATGATTTAAAATAATATAATATTCAAGAATTTAAGATTTTGATAAATAATTGGAATATTTATGTATAAATTCAATGGTTTAGGTCCAACTAATCGATAATCAGTGATTATTAATCGCAAATGTATGATATAAATATGTTTTCATACCAAACTATTTATAAAGAGATTGCACTGTAAAAGGTTTGTCAGAATAGTATGACATTGAGCTTATTTTTAGAAAATATTAAGCATTTTTCTATTAATAAATCGATTTTCTATTACGTTAATGGTAGAATAATAAATCTGCATGGTTATATTGAATAGGATTTAAGTGATTATAATAAAGAGTTCAGAAGGTTTTATAAAGTATTTAAGGCTTATAGAATTTACTGATATATTAATAGTAATACTTTTATCAAATAATGTTCAATATCAAATAAAAACATATAAAAATCACATTAAAATCATATAGAATTAATATATCATATAATATGTTTATTGATAAGTAAACCTAAAGCACCTATATCATAGATTCTATGACATAGAAAGTAACACAAAATATTTTAAAATGCAGTATTAATGTAAAGTGAATGTATTTCATAAAACTAATTCAATTTTAAATACTATAAATTATAAGAAACCTTAATCCAATATTTTATATAATAAATTAATTTGTAAAAGTTTTATTTGAGTGTTAAATAGTTGTAAAATAATACAGTTTACTCAATGCATATTCAATCCCTTACAGATTTGATACCTTGCTATATGTCACCAATAGTTTCTATTTCATACAAATTTTCAATAAAAATCTAAGATATTCTCAATAAAAAAAATTAAACATATAATAAATAATATAATTATAGATAGTTTTTAAAATTGTTTCTATAATTAAAATTATGCGTAAATTATATAATAAATAAAAAAATTACTCACAAAATTAATTATTAAAAACAAGCGGTTATTATAACTTGATTATATAATAAGAGCCTATATTAATATTGAAACTCTTATTATATGTTTATAAAGTTGACACATCGTATAGAATAATAGAAACAAATAATTATTTAAATAGCATCCACTATATATACCACTGTATAAAATCATATCAGATTATGAACTGGCTCACTTTTGTATTCTTACGTCCTTATAATCATAATTGTTAATTGTACGCACAGTATAAAATGTACTAAAATATATTCAGGTCTAATTAACCCCAAACTCAGGAGCACGCTGATAATGGCACTTCACTGGGTATTTAGGAACGCCTATTAATTGTGTATTAAAAGCACTTCCACAAAATAATATTTAAATTAAAGTATTTATAATCAGTGATTTACTTTATACATACATAAGCTTAAACAAGCACTTTACTATTGCAAATAAATTATTTTCAATTTTCAAAAATATGAAACGTATTTTTAATATTATTTATTAGACTAATAATCAATTCAATTGACAAATTATTCATTTTTTAGTAATAAGTTACGTGGCTGTTATGTATATTACTAGTATTTATACAGGTATGTGGACTTTAGTTTAAAACCCACAAAACAAATAATAATTTTATTGTACAGTTACTCATACTTGCCTGATGTCTGTAACTAAAAAACAATTAATTAATAAAATAATTGCTTCCAATTGTC